TAAAAAATGACCTAGTTTCCATAGAGTGAGGGTTAATTAATGAGATTTCATTCTCTAATTTGCTGTGTTCACTGCTCGTCTGAAATTTTCATTTGAAATGTTACATATTAAAATAAAAATAATCATTTTTACTTTACGTATTGGATAAACTTTGAGCAATTTTGGCGAGTGAAACGCTCAACGGTTCCTTTCGCCAAAACAAAGCCGGAAGTAATTTCAACCGGTCAGAAAGTTTTGAGATAAAACCAACTTCTTCGAAGGCAATAAAACCTTGAAACTTTTGAGATCTGCAATTCGAACAATGCTTCTCGAAATATTCCTTAAACACTTTGAACATTTCGATGAGCATTCCACGGGAACGAAGCGGGATAGCCGGGGATTCGCTATTGAAAATCCCTCTTCTTTTCGCAGCTTGTGTCTTGGTTGGAGAAGCGAAGCTTATCGTGCTTGTTATTAATGTGAAAAGTGTCTTCTACCTTTCAGAGCCGTATCTTGACGCTTGGCGTCGGTCTTCCACGACATGAAAAGGTTCACGGCGAGGAAGGGGGTTAGGCACTGTGAGAAACGTTGAAGCGGAGAAAAATCGAGACAATCGCGGTAATTACAGGAAGTGAACGTGGCACGCCGGTTGGATCAGACAATGGTATCGCGGAGTTCGCGAAAATAGGAGAATAAGTATTCTCGAAAAGATATTCCCGCGTCACGTTCGCGGTTACCAGTTATTCGCGATCTTTGATCCGGAAGATTTGTAGACGAATTCTGGAAATTTTAGAAGTAATTGGGAATAGTTCCATCGTGTTTGGGATCTTTAAGTAGTGTTGCTAGGTAGGAGCCAGGATCGGCCTGGTCCTCCCAAATATTGGCACCTTCTTCGTCTTCGAACTCTGTGATTCTAAAATTCCAGAATTATAGAATTTCAAAACTTCAAAATTCAAAAATTTCAGAATTCCACCATTACAAAATTCTGAGATTCTATAATTTTAAAATCTGCAAATATTAAAGTCCCAGAATTTAAAAATAATAAACATTCCAGAATTCTAGAATTTCAAAACCTCAACATTCCAAGATTGCAAGTCTTACAAATTTCAGAATTCTGAGGTTCTACAATTTTTAAATCTGCAAATATCAGAATCCCAGAATTGAAAAATTATGAACATTCCAGAGTTCCAAAATTCCAGAATTCTAGAATTTCAAAACCTGAAAATTCCAAGATTGTAAATCTTAAAAATGATTAACATTCCAGAGTTCCAGAATTCTAGAATTTCAAAACCTCAAAATTCCAAGATTACAAATCATAAAAGTTTCAGAATTCCACCATTATAAAATTTAAAAATCTGCAAATATCAGAGTCCTAGAATTTAAAAATTATTAACATTCCAGAGTTCCAGAATTCTAGAATTTCAAAACCTCAAAATTCCAAGATTACAAATCTTAAAAATTTCAGAATTCCAACATTCCAGCACTCTAGCCCGACCCGAGGCTTGGGTGCCCGAATTGTCAGTTACTCCCACACCCCTGTGATTTAGAAAAAATTATCGATTTTGTTTTCAATCACACAAAACAGTTTTAAAAAATAATTTATCTACTAATTTATTACAATCCAGCAGGGAAGACAGAGAAACCCTTAAAGAAAGAATAAAAATAGGGAGTAATAGTTTCAGTAAATTGGATAGTAATTAAACGAATCGTCCGACATTGCTTCGCGGACGAATTACAGCAGTTTGTCAGCTCTAGTCTTTCTGAAGGATGATCCTGCTAAATCGAAGTTTCTATCTCACGAATTCGAATGACGAATGGCGGTCTTTCCTTGCCCTCACAAAGCGGATATCTATTCCCTCTTGTCTTATCGTTCTGTCGTTCTTCCTGGCTTCCGGCTGTCCTCGACAGGGAAGAGCCTTCGGAGTTCCTTTTTGTATGCTCCATTTCGTGGATTGCGTACTTTCGACAAATTGATGCATACGTATCCTTCTGCTTCTGCATTTGCAAAATTGCTCTACCTTCGGGGTGTTAGATGTCTCGCGTCGTGGAGTATCTTTCCTGGCATCGTTCATTATTTTAAAATACACGTTAGTCAGCGCTTTTCCTCCCAGATGTCAAGAAATTGAATTTTAGGTCTTTTGTACTGTTATACAATTTTTATGATATCCATTTGATATTTTTTCTTAACAATATTTTTAATTAAAATAGAATTAAAATTAATGCTTTTTACGGAGACGCATAGTTTCTGCTAATTACCATAAGTTAATTGTGTTTAGCAATAATTGGCAACGAAAAGTTTCTCGGTTTACCCGTCATGAATACGGACGGAGGAAGAAAGCAGAACTGCGCTGATGACCGTGAACTTCTTCAACTGCCCCAATGGCTTCTTCAGCGATCGCATTCTTCTGTATGCCGACCGCTTTGCATCTGGCACAACTATTTTTAAACTCGTACAGGATGCAAATTGTATGTTTCACTTGAACTTGATTTGTATGTTACATAATCCAACGGCAAATTGCAACTGTTTTTCTTTCGATATTGTTTGATCCTCAAATGGCGGACCATGGAGAGAGCCCCAGTTTTAATCTAATTTTCTATTTCAAGGGTTAAAAGTCTGTTCCAAGCAATAGTGCAACCATGGAAGTTCGAAAAGATTAACTGACCTCTCTTCCCTTTTTTTAAATAAATGCCGAAATATTTTTGAAAATTTCATAAAACGTCTTGGAAATAAAGAAAACTGGAAACAATAGATTCGTATATGTAGGAGAGTTGACCCCTCGTTTGACCCTTCTATGGGACAATTATGATTGCACCATTGGTTCATATAAAGAGATGAATTTAATTTTTTAAGGAAATATAGAATTTGAAACGGTACAAAAGAGTTTTCGCTAATATTGAATAAGAGAAATGAAGAAAAAGTTGGCGAAATGCGTCAAACGAATCTTATCTTGAAAAGTCTTTTCCACGCCGTCGAGCGAAGCAGATAAGCTCGATCATCTTCCTCTTCGCGAGAAAGTTTCACCGACGCGACGCTGGAAAGATAAAATTCATAATTGCTTTAATTTCATTTATCGTCGCAGTCGTGATAATCGCAGCTCGACGAACCAAATTTTTCAACAATTTTTCGTTGATCATATCATTCCTTTTATTTATCTTTTGTCTTACCCTCTTACCTGCCATTCTAAGCTAATTGTAAATCACGTCTCGCGACTTCAGATACCGTTTTTTTTTCGCATGAATTTATACGTCGCGATACCGATCCGTTTTTTCAGGGATCGTAAATTAACGCTATTCTGATACTGTCTGTTAGAATTTACAAATGGTAAAATCGTTTCCTAAAATTATCATAAATTTTTTAATTTTCATTTCGCGCAAAAATGATAAAAAAGAATGAATTATTAATATTTAATCTATGCGAATTTATAAAATAGCGTTTAATTATTTTATTTTTAATAAAATAAATTTTTAAAGGAATAGGTAAATTTGCGTTTAATTTATCAAGTTGAAAAATTTGTATCATTAATTATCGAGTATGGGACAAATACTATTGTAACTATTATGAAAAAAAAAAAAAAAATCTTAATGAAAAAGCAATAGTGATTCCTGCAAATACTTTGAGTATACTATTCAGCGAGTTGTCGGTACTGAATCATCAACAAAGCACGGTGCAGTTCAAAAGCAATCCCACTTTCAGTATTAGCCGGTTCAGAAACAGTTAATCAGTCACAGAAGCAATCAAGCTTCTACTCACTTCCATATTTCAGTCAGTTGTTAGTTAGTTGGTGCGAGAGCAATCAAGGTTATATTTCATTCCACATATCCAGGTAGAATTAGTGATCGGTATTACTGTCTACTTCACATACGTAGTAATTGAAGATAAGATTTGAAATAAAGTAATGCAGCCACTGTATCCTCTAAGACGATTTTCAACTTTTTCATTAGTTTAAATAATGTTATTTTGTTTGTTCTCCTTTCAAGAGCATATCATTTATGGTTCAATGTTTCTTTTTATGAATAGGGTTTTTTACAACTAAAATATTTTTAATATTTATGACTATTTACTGTATAATTTAAACGTGCAAAAATTAGTTGCTGTGGTTCTATTCGGATATGTCAATTATTCGGTGTCTAAGAGTAATTAGGGGAGGTTATACCCTTCAAGATATTGAACGAAGTTTTTTTTACTGTTGCTCTTTTTCTTTACAATTGAATCTTATTAAATTTTAATTTTTGAACCAAGTTTATCAACTAAGGAGATCCTCGAAAGTTAGATGGCACCAGGGCCTCAGAAATCTTAATTCGTTCCTGATGGGTCATACTAAATTTTGTGCTTTAAATATTTCAGCGTATTATTATATTTAACATTATGTTCAACGTTACACACGCGAGGGAAAGCAGCACATTAATTAACGTGACTATTAACCTTCGGATGGCGGACCATGGAGGGAGCTCCAATGTTAATTTGATTTTATATTTTACATTATTTTCATTTTCTAAATTTTGCACTATTTCTTTAAAAATTATTCTTCGAATATATGAAAATCTTTCGTTTAAGAATTATACACTTAACTTTAGGTTGGTATCCTTGTAAGTTTGGCTCTTGATTGCAAGGGTTAAAAATTTGCCCAGTAATGTACACACATTAAAAAGCAATCACAGAATTCATTCCAACACTAAAAGTGTGTTAATAATACATGGTGAATTTGATGATATTACACATTGTATCATTATTTTCAAAAAGTCATAATATACAAAAATGGAAACTTTTCTTTAATAAAACTTATTACTAAATAAATAAATAAAAAATTTATTACTTCTTTAATAACTACACTTTACTAAAGTGTAAATATATATATTATGCCCTATTGTATTACAACTAACAACGAAATAAAATCTTGTAAGGAATTACGTGATTAAATCTCCTGTATTCTGTGTGTTAAGACAACTTTGATACTTAATACTGTTCGTACATTTGAATCAACGTAAATTCTGTCTTAGGAATGCATGTACTTGCATTTCAGGTGGCTTCACCTGCTATTTAACCTAGGAGTACAGGTGGTCGTGGGACTTCCCCTGGAAATGGTTCATGGAAGTCTGAGGATTGCAGCGGTTTATATGGCTGGAGTTCTTGCCGGTGAGTAATCGCTATGCGTTAGACATTTTTTAACACTTATTTACATAAATTTATAGAATTTTTCGTTTCAATTTAGTCGCAATGTCGTTATCAGAAATTAACTTAATTAAAATAATTTATTTTGCATTCTGCAGAACTTGTCGCAGATTCTTATTTATCATTTGTACTGTCATCTTGTTGAAATATTTTAGAAACGCAAGAAAATATTCAAATCTAAAATAGTATTATAATTAAGAAGGCGTAGGCTACTAATAGCAAGTAATTAATTTTTGCATCTAATATATGTGTGTATTTATATACGTGGATATTTATTATAAAATTTTTATTATGGCTAAATTATTTTTACACTTGAAAATCAATTAATATAGGTATTGAATACTATACAGGGTGATGAAAAAATATGGTCCAATACTTATAGGACTTACAGCACCCACGTGGGGTAAGAATTGTCAAACCAACATAAGTTCTAAAACTAGCTCTTTCTCTGTAAAATTTAATAAGATTTAGTTCAAAATTATACATTTAGGTAAGTTTGTAATGAACCAATATCAATAAAAATTATTTACTATTACTGTGCCATATGTTGGTCTTACTGTTTTTTAATAACACTTTGAAATAAAAAAAGTAAAAGAACTGACAGTTGATTTTACAGAGAAAGGGTTCATTTTTGGGTTTTTGTTGATTAGATATTTTTTACTCCACTTATTGTCAATGAATACCATAAGTCCTATAAATTTCAGACCCTACTTTTGTATTATCCTGTAGGAAAGAAAATCTGATTCCCCACAGTATATTTCTCCCATAGTATCACTAGTAATCACCTATGTGACATTAAAGCTTCTACATAGTAATTTGAAAAAAAAAACTAGGTCAATAAATAATTAAATAAACTGCAAGAAGATATCGAAGCAGATAAAAGAAAACAACGAGTATCATTGTTGTCAACAAAATGCGATTAAGCAAAAGCTCAGTCCAAAGTACATTTAACGCGAACGTTTGCAGGCACGCTCGTCGATACTTGCATGCGTGATTATGCACCGGCATGTAATGCAATAATGCACGAATGCTCGCAACAATATTCGTGAATTTAAATCACTCGGTGATTCTCACCCGCATAAATGCTCGGCAGCGCAGCTGCACCTGCCAGGGCACGACTCTATTTCTTCTCTGTAACACAATTTGTCCCTCTTTCCATTTACCGTGTTTCGGGATTTTCCAACATGGAACGTGTTTTTGCTCCCTCCTCCCCTTTTCACCCTCCGATCGACCCTTTCGCCTCCCTTACACTACTGTCCTGCTCGTTCTACGAGTTCACCTTCGGTTGCTCGCTTTCCATTATTTTCATTTGCATCCCCGTTCGTGTAAACCGAGAAAGAAGAGAGAAACGCGTGGGTTTTCTTCTATGTATACCCGGTACAAACGCGTGTTACTCCTGATACACGTATTACGTTGGGCCGAACCGACGAGGCGCCCAACGTCGGGCGCACATTCGTATAAACCTAATTGTCATTTGCATAAATTCGATTAGACTCAGATCCCGGGTTATTAGCAGTCATGAAAGTAAACCGTTGTAAAACAGGAACGCATGAATAATAAACTTCCAGGGAAGATTCGGGATACGTAATGTTACAGTGGAAGAACATAATTCAAAACCGTTGAAAATTGTAACAAAAAGGTGAAAGATTAAGAGAACGGGGTGGGATACTGAAATGGGAATAATCCTTCCGTTTTCACGTAGAAATGTCAGTGCAGTATATTTCATGTCTCGTATTAAGGTTGTATAGCAGGTCGCTGCAATGATACTTATTGGAAAATTTTTTTAATTTCTAACCATTCTGAAATTTCACATTCCAAAATGTGAGGCTCATAAAGTTTAAGCTTCATAAATTTCAGAAACTCAAAATTTTTAATTACCAATACTATAGAACTTTAGAACTTTAAAATTCTGCAATTAAAAAAATCAAAAATTTCAAGATTTTATACTTTAAAAATTCTAAATTTTCAAAGTTTCAGAAATCCAAGATTTCAAATTACCAATGCTCCAGAATTTTTAAATTCTAGAATTCGAAAATTTTACAATTTAAAAATTCTAAGATTTTAGGACTTTATACTTCACAAATTACAGAAATTCAAAATTACCATAACTAGAATTTTGAAATTTTAGAAGTTCATACATCAAACATTCCAGATTTTCAATCGCTCAGAAATCCATAATTCTAAATTATCAAAACTCCAGAATTCTTAAAAATTCTTGAATTCCAGAACTCAAAAATCCTACAATTTAAAAATTCAAAAATTTTATAATTTAGAGATTCAAAAATTCCAGTTTCAAAATTCTAAAATTTTTAAGTTCCTAAATTTCTAGGAGACCTAAATCATCCTAGAATAAAATCCTAGTTGCACCAATGCAAAATGGGGAGATAAATGCTTCAGGTGACATGACAACATCCAATATCCCTGTTAATGTTTTTTAAAATATTTTTGAATTTCTATACCTTTTCTGTATTTTCGTGGTACATGTACTTTGAGTCTCATAATTGTTATTTAATCAAATGGTAATCATCTATTGATCAACTGTAGTATTATTAAATTTTCAAATGCAGCTTTGAAATATTGAACCGTCCAATGAAAGTAAATTGTATCTCCCTTATCTCTTACCCTACTATTTTCTCTCCTTTTTTCTATTGGCTCCCTGTTGAGCCTCATTCCATTCCGTGAGAACTGAAGATGGCGACAGCTTGTCTGGGGCCACCGCGACTAGATTACTTCGTATGCGGTCGCGGTTGCGACGATGTAATGCGATTGTAACTACAAAAGTGCAATGCACCTATCTTCTGTCACCTTTTTCCCTCTGTTCATTTTACTATTTTTCTCACCTAATCGTCCACTTTGGATCTTTTCTTCGTTCTTATCGCCTTTTGCAGTCTTTTGTTTCGCATATTTTTTTTCTTTTGACTAGCACCCTGTTGATTTCATTGTGAAAATAATAAAAATGCAGCAGTTATGAAACTGTAAAAACACATATTTCTTCCTTACGATTTTTCAAATTTATTAATTTCTTGCAAAATTTTTATTATGAATTTTTTCATTTATAGAAAATATAATCTATTAGTGAAAATATCTTTGTCTTGGAATTAACTTATAAAAGTAAATGATTTTTTAAAAGACATACCTTTTTATATTTTGCATCCATTATTACTGAACATTCAAATGTAATCAGCTGTAAAAATGTAATACTGCAATCAAAAATAATTTTAACTATTATTTCTCATTCTATATAATATTGAAGAAATCTGCGCTAAACTCTCGCTATATTGCCTGTTAGGGGCGGAAAATTCTTGGAATTGGCAATATAGAAAGAGCTTCTTTCATACGACGCTTGACTATCGAAGTCATAACACGCGTACACACATACACACACCTTATCCCAGCGTTCAATGAAAAATCCTCGATTACGTTTGTCGATCAGAGAAAAACGGCATCAGCCTTTGATATTGCGGCCTTCGTGGATTTCCATAGACTACGATAATAGGAAAATGTCACTGCCTGTATGTGAAAATCTGTGTGAAAGAGAGCTCGCACAATCCACAGTATAAAGAATGGCAATATAGCGAGAGCTTACTGTAGACTCTCGATAATTACCCGCATTTAGGACTCTAGAGGTGAACTATTTAAGGCAGTGGTTCTCAAACTTTTTTCTCTGGCGACACATTGGAATCATTAAATAAAATTCCCTATTATTATTATTATTATTATTATTATTATTTGTGTTTTACAGTTAGTAAAAATATGGAGGCTTTTATTAACATTTGGCTTTTTACATATAAACAATAAAAAATTTCATGGCACCCTTGTGTTGTACTTAGCACCCTAGGGTGCTACGGCACCCAGTTCGAGAATCATTGGTCTAAGGTGTAATTATCATGAGCCAATAATATCTTTAATAAGATCTTTTAAGAAACGTTCAAAGTTCTAAATAGGAAGTCGCTGCCAGACTATCTTCCTCATTCCTGCGTACAACCCTATTCTTCTTTGCCAGTTATTATGCACTTGCTTAGTCTGAACGCTCCATGTGGCCCAGCCTTATTGGCTACGGAAGGCGACAGGGAGTAAGGTGCGTGCGCGTGTGTAAGTAATGCGTGTGAGCACAAAACGTTTCCAACGACTAATTATCTAGCAAGTAATTATCGCGAGTCTACTGTACTTGAAACTTTTCGAAATAAGTACTTTGTTAATTATGATGTAATTACTTTATTTTTACGCATTTTGCTGTATAAATTACACTCGTGGAAGTAACTTAATTATGATCCAAACTTACAAAACGTATACAAGGATATTGACCTAAAATTAAATGTATAGTTTCTTAAATATTGATAGGGTTTCATATATTGAAAGAATAATTTTTAAAATAACAATTTAAAATAATATGAAGTACAGAATTAAATTAAAATCGAGGCCCTCTTCATGGTCCGCCGTTAAAGGGTTGAAGTCCAACTTCAAGATTGATGGGTTAGCTTCATACCTGAAGTTTCTTTAAACAGTTCATTCATTCATTTTTGCATTTTCTGCAATTTTCTTTCTCTTTTCTTTTTTTCTATCGACCACAGTCATAGCACCTCATTTGTACAAGATTTTCGAAAATTTTCCCTTCTTTTCTTAGTCTGCACTATTTACTTTATTCAAGTAACCCCAGTCGTAATGCACCACCCCCAAAAAAGGTTCCAGTTATACCAATAATACAGAAAAACAAATGAAGGCTTAAAAAGAGTTCAGTGCAAAATTTACTGTACAAAAATATAAAATCTTTCTATTTCAATTATTAGTCGGTGAATGAACTAAAGTGCTGATAGGTACTGGTTTATTAAAAAAAAAAAATAGCAATGTACGAGGTGTTCTTATCTGCCAAGCATTACGACGCGACGTGTATACTTAGGAAAGAAATCGTTAGGCAAGGGATTAAAATGATTTAGTCAACACTTATCAGAGAAAGGAGAAATAAA